GCTCAGAATCACCCCCTGATCCTAGGGTGTTCAGATGTACATGTACTTCTGAAACACCCTGTATATGTATAAATAAGGTTATACTTGTTTAAGATAGACATAATGTACATCATGTATTTGGTTTGATTGGGTTTTTCGGGGTTTTCCCATATGCTATGCAACGAATGTTGAACCAATTTTTCGTATCTTCCCCATATAGAACAAGTTTATTAAATTCAATTAAATTAATTATTTTGAGTAGGAGTATTGAAATGAGCAAAATAATAATTTAATTTTTAAGGAATGTAGCCTCTCTAAACTATACATATTTCTTAGTATAGGAGTGGTGGGTGCGTGTGGTCTGTATGCAGTTGTTTATGCACAGTCGACGTCACCGAATACCATAGAAAAGAAACACATGGTACTTGAGGTCTCTACGAAGGTCTCTATTGTCCAAGTTTTAGTCTACTCCCAAAAAGCGTGAAGAAAGGACCACTAAAATAAATGCTCAACTCCAACTCAATCTCTGTCTTTGGTGTCAAAGTTATTTTTCTTTTTCCCTGATCCCATAATTTCCAATAGATATAAATGAAATTCTGTTGTCACTTGTCGATTGAGATATATTTATGATCATAACTACTGAGGTCAAGACCCACATGTCTTGAGGTGTTAACCTGAAGGAGCATGCCTAATATCTGATAGTCTTGAGCGCATCAATGACTCGAGTTCGATGATTTATGGATCACAGCAAAGAAATTCGACGTCTGTAGGAACTTATGCTGCTTTTTTACCCTTTATTCATGGTCTCTTAGTAGAGAACATCCACTCACAAACTGTAGGTTCGCATTCATGTCTAGGGCTGTACTCGCCACCTGGAGGTTGGACATGTGCTCGTCATAACTCTTCATCGTATACGTTATGAGGTCAATCATCCTCCGGTTCAAGACGTGCACCTTTGTGATTCCGTTCTCAAAAATAACTTTCATATATTTGGCTACGCAGGCTACTAACTGGAGGAAAGGAAGTTGGACCACTCAAGAGAGTTTGAGGAAACAACAACTACTAAACGTTGAAAAATGCAGAGAATTCATGACAGATACGAATCATTATTAAATTCAAGGGGATCGAAATTTGTGAGGGGGAAGATGCTTGGGTTACGAGAAATTTAGTGGAGTGTCTCCTGGGGTCTCTTGACGTTCTCGTGCAGGCTACTTATTTTTTTATCTATTATTAGGAGTTATTTGCAGTTTGTAATAAATGAGATATTAGAGAAGAAAATGGAAATTACAACACTTGAAAGCCTAAACATATGTTAAGAAGGACATTTTGGACAAAAATTAACATAAATAATCATTTCTAGAAGGGGTATACTGGTCATTTATGGATTAAATTAATAAATTGAATACAATTTCGAATGACTACGGTAGAGAGAGGAAATTTTTTACTTGTACGATTAAAAATTCCAATAAAAGAAAAGTTGATGCATAAATGATGGTAAAATGGACAAAATTTCCATGAAAAAAAAATACAAAATTTTGAATCAATCCTGCCGAGATTTTTTCACATTTTCGACGGGACTCTTAACATATTTGCAAAGATAGGACACATCTTTGACAACTCCATCAATCACAACGATGTCTCCTAGGGTATGAGCAATGAGTTGAGGAGGAAAATCCTCTGAAATAAATAAATGGACATGGAAGAGTTATTGAACTGGAAATGGTAAAGAATCTTCGAGAATATAAGTTATCAATCAATATACACACCTGATTTCCGAATAAAACCTTGAATCTCAACATTTTGTCCTATTTCAAAAGTATGAGTTAAACGATTATCAAACTGAACAATTTTCACTTCCAAACAGAAATCATCAGCCCCAATGACATCAAAGCAAACTGAAGGTGATCCTTCTGCTCTTTGAATCAGGGAAAAATTGGTTTTGTAAAACCTTGTACATGTATAAATAAAAGAAGGGAAAAGAATTAGAGAAACATCGATCAAATTTCAATAAAAAACACATTGTAAGAAATTTTTGGCTGAAATTTCTGCTACTTTTGAAAATTTTGAATTCTTTTTGTAATTGAAAATGAGAAATTTGATTTCACTCTCACTGGAATGTAGAAATTTGATGATTCCTTTAAATGAAATTCAATAGAACTCTCTGGAAAACTTCCTTCCAACTATTTATAAAATTTCAGTGTTTTTTCTCTAACAGTGGCAATATTACTTTAATCTTTGAGAACAGAAGATACTACTCACGAATGCATTGACAATGATTACACACATCTTCCAGTTCAATCAACCTTAAATTTTGGTTCAAAATATTTAATTGATGAATATTAGGGCCAAATTTGTGCATCACATTTATAGTGGTATTCGACTGAATAGTCAACTGGAATAATACTGTTCCGTTTATATATTTTGGATTTCCAGCCCTCATGAAAATTCCATTAATAAAGAGAGCCTATTTAATGAAAAATCCACGATAATTAAAACATAATTATATTAAGGAATTATTTATCAATTGATAGTCAATCTTAAAGATAAAATGATGTTTTTCTGGCGAAAATCATCAAGAACATAAAATTACGGGTCTCCAACACTACTTCAATGTTAAAAAAAAAATTACTCGTCAAATATCATTCTAGTTTAGAGAAAAAAAAGGGGGGGGGTGGATGAAAAGTCTCTAATGAGTTCAAAACACTGTAAAATCCATAGTGACGTAGTCAATCAGTTTAAGTTAACTTTATTCTGTGGTGAGTTTGAAATAAATATCTCGGAATATAAGGAGGATAATGGAATTTTCGAAGTAACCTTGTGACGAATGAAATTTTAATGATCCAAAACTTTACTCAATATATTTACATGTATGGGCGCCAGTTGGCTCTTAATTTTAATTATAATTATTATTCGGTAAAGACCAACAAAAAATCGACTGCTCAGCGAAATTTTCTCTCAAGGGGGAAGGAGGACGAAACTCCTTACGTTCGTGGGCTCCAAATCAATCACACAAAAATTAGAATAATAAACAAAACAATTTGGGTTTATTATAGAAAAGAATTTTCTTTAATACAATCGTCGTACTAGATTTTTTACTCTTCAAAATTGGATTTTACAAAAGTAAGTCTAAGTGAACTCGCGGTTGGCGTCACGAGCCACAGACCTTCCATTTACTCAATATCTTCAGTAGTTTCATTAACAACTCCTCCCGAACTTTACAGAATAATATAACTCGACTCTGACCTTACATAAGTGACCTCCATCGACGTAATTACACCAGACTTTGACTCTTACAATGATAATAATCAATTTTAGTTTAATTTCAATACTTTTACTTGATACTCAATTCTCTACGATCCGACCTGTGTCCTGTCTGTCGGAATACTCCCCAGAGGCACACACCGGATTTTCGCACATTGTCCTCGCGAAGCTTTCGGGAGTTTCCGTCTTTATTCGGCAATCCCGAATTTTCCCATTGCCATGAACGGCCCAATTCGCGCGATTTTAATTTTCATCGGACACCGAACGCAGTCCGCTACCCAACAGTACTCAAAATATATAAATCCAAATAACAATTTTTAGTTGACGACAACGTTGTCACAACCTTTTTGGTAGCTCTGATTTTACTGTAAAAAAAAGGCTTCTTAAAAAATTCTGCGATCTCTCCTAGATTGTAACATATTCTCAAAAAACTCAACTAGGAGCTAAGTCGATTTAAACTGTTCGACAAATTCACTACTGAAATATTGAATGACGATTTTGATTTGTCATAAATGACTCTCCTGTGGAACATAATCATCAAAATCAAAACCAATACTCGAGTCATCAACATTGATCAATTGCTGATTAACTAACAAAATCTTACATTGCCCAAAAAAATAGATGATTCAATTCTCTTGATTTGACTATTCCAAGAAATCCACTCAACTCGTTCACAATCGCCATTATTCAAGGTCCATTTAAACAAACTCTTGCTCGCAGGACCACTTAACGTAATTATAGGCATAACCTGATCAACTACTCCGACAATAGATCTAGAATTGAAAATCAAAGATTAAACAGTAACTATGTAATAATTAAATATTATACATTTCCACTCACATCATTCGCAATTTAATGTCATTGTGGTACATACGAAGAATATGGGACGGAGTGACAGTAAAATTAAACGTTTCGTCTGAAAAAGGAAAAATAAACTGTAAGAAAACATGATATGGAAGGGAAATTCATTACACATGAACAGTAATCACACAATCAAAAGTAGGAACTCTAATTTTGCCAACTCAACTAAATAAAATATACTAAAATCAAAGTTAAAGAAATTGGAAATATAATGAACACAATCCGACAGTGGGAAAATATTCAGTTGGGAACGATGGAGAATGTAGAAAATAGTTTTTACCTGTATTTCCAACCTCTTGATTTCCTCTATAAGATGTTCCTGATTGTGAAGACGAATTACTATCAATCGCATCATGAGATCTTTTCAATGAATCCATATAAATCATCAAAATAAATGGAAATATATTAAGAGAGAAATATAAAATAAGAGGGAGGATTATTAATAATATAAAAAATTAATTACCTTTCGACATGTTTTGCACAATTGATGGAGCTGTCAGTGATAGTATGAATGAAACAATTTCATAACGAACCAACTTCACTCGATTGCATTATAATTCGATTTTCAATTGAGTACTTTATCACATGATGAGGTGATAAAAATGTAATTGAATATAAAGACAATTTAGATACACTTCCATGTATTCGAATAAATATTATGATGAAGAAAAAAAGTGGAAACAATAAAATCTGAGGAACAAAAATCCATTCGGAAGCTTGTTGCTAATTTCTTAGCAACAACAGCTATACGCAGTTCCTTATAATGGCATTCCCCACTTGTTTTTTTTTTAGGAGGAATGAATACAGTGCAGCCTAGTACAGCCCTTTTTCTAAATTCATAAGAAGGATAGAGGGATGTTGAAGAATATTCTTTCAGAATATCACTTTTATTTATATTTTTACATACCTAAGAATATAATGATCTGAGAATTACATCATCATTTCTTTTTTTCTATTCTTCCTTCACTCCACCCCTACTACGTCATCACTATTCATACGTTTTCTTATTTTTCCTATCATAAGGCGCTAAGAAAATAATATTTTGAGGTCTTCTTATAATTTTCCTCATTTATTTATTCATTCTATTTTTTGCAATAATGATAGTCGTCGAAGAAGTGTTTGAAACATAATGACTTCTTGCACCAAGAGCAACGAATAATAGCAATATTCGTACATCCCGGTATTTCGCAATGCGATTTGCAAGATTCACCGAATGCGAAATGGACGGGATTTTCAAATTGATCTGGTTTGGTTTCTACGTAACTGCTTCTGTACCAAGCATATTTGAAGAGATTGACATATCGTGGTGACGACAATTGATTATGAGTTGGAGATTGCAACTTGATGACATCATTCGTTAAATGTAAATTCAAATCATAATCCATTAATATAACACTATCAGAGAAATCTTTTATGAAGTTTTTCCAAACTCTAAATCCAAAAACCTCGAGTGGTTGGAGTTTTCCAGTTGTCCCTTTAGGTATAGTCATTACCTCCACATCCTTATTGCGTATTTTGGTAGCTTCCACGATTGGAGAACAGTGTCCGGTCCACGAATCCACCAATAATAGACTTTTCGCACCAACATTAGGGACAAAAACATATTGCAACCAAGTTTTGAAATGTTCTGAAAAAAATTATAGAACAAATAAAGGTTATCGTTGGAGCGACGTCATTATTACGGATAAATAAGAAACGAAGTATTAGACGAATCAACACAGTCTCATACCTGAAGTCAGTTTGCCAGATTTGGATACATCTGCGTATACATTATCCGGACGAAGCAGTTTTTCCTCTACTCTGGGAGCGAAATGACCGCTTGGTGCTTTTAAAACTAAAAAGAGTGGAGAGAGGAGTTTCCCTTCAGCTGATATAATTGGTTGAATAGTATAACTATGGGACATTCCATGTCAACTCAGCCACACCGGATTTTTTTTTGTCTGGAAAAAATCATTGAGTAGTTGCATTTTGAACTACTACATATAGCCAGTGATCATGCAAAATTTCATTGCCCTGCCACTTTTTGTTTCTGAGATAATCATTACGAAACGTGAAATTTTCAAAAAATAATTACTTCTGAATGGAGCATCCGATTTTGATGAATAAAAGAAGAAAATTTTCGTTTTTTCTAGTACTTCAAGATAAAGAATACTTCAGAGCCGTCAAGAAGCTCCTAGACCGGTTTTTCGAGAATTTTTCGCGTTTTCATTTTTTTTTCACTCTAGGGCCGCTCGATATTCGATCGAAATATTTTTTTTATGATAGAGGATGTCCTTATATGATATGAAAAAAATACGTCATACGAAATTTTTGGGTTTTTCAGTTTTTAGGAGAGATTCATCGGGTTTTTTTCAAAGAAATCAGTCTGACAACTATTATTCTTTATTCATATATTATGGCAAAAGAGTTCGCCATCATGTAAGAGAGAAAGAATGCTCCGAAAAAAAATTTCCTTCGAAATTTTTACGTTTGTCTGTCGTTTAGGAGAGTTGCATTATTATTACTGAAAAAGGGGTTTGTCAATAGACATTTTCTGTTCTGATGGATAGAATAGACTATTGATACGACTATAAATCCTATCTCAACAACACACCGTGCTTTCCACTAACGAAAAAGTATGGGAAAAAAACAATTTTTCTTCTTCTATAACGACAACATTTTATATTTTCACATTTTTACATTTTTACAATACGGAGAAATTCTCCACTCTCTTCAACGACAAGTTCCAACATGCACTGATGAATTATTTACATCACGATTACTGTCTTCTGCGGATTTTTCGTTTTGTTGTTGTTTGTTTTTGCTTTGGGAAAAACTCCTCGTTAGTAGAAGCCGAATATCGTTTAATTAACAATTGCTCTCCCGGTATCGGAATAAAACAATGATGTTTTTGAATGGCTGGAATAGCTTTGGCACTATCAAATCTCTCTCTCAACTCAGTTTTGATATTCTTGTGTTCTGCTTTGGTGAAAAAAAAACATCAATTCCTTCAAAATTCTGTTTGACCATCGAAACAAAGCATCTGGCGTGAGGATTGGTTCACCATGAACGATTTGCAAGCTCTTACGTTTCGCTTCTTTCTTAAAGACACCTACTCCGTCATAAGCTCCTTTACCGTGCGCGGTTGCATGAAAATGGGCTTCCGCATCTATGCCAAAATCAGTCTTGTGATGAAAGAAATTTCTGATCTGAAAACGATTCTTGTAATGTTGTGCAGCTCCATCGGTGACATAGATAATTTTCTCCACGCTTTCACAGCTGTCTTTCACATGCTGTATTAAAATCTTCTGTATCAAATAAACAGCGGCAGTAACGTGAGTCGTACTGTCCGACAAAACGACTAAACTCCGATGTTGTATTCCATTTTCTTCGCGATAGTAGTAAACAATGGGGTGAACTGTACACTGGCCATTATTGTAGTGGAGGGATTGAGCAGCATCTTGAGCCCCAAAAGCGTAATTTTCCGAAAAATCACAATGCAGTAGTACTTCTCCATTATCCAAATTCTCTTTTCGCTGTTTGACAAGAGCCGATTGTTCTTTAGCGATGAAGTGATGGGGCTTCAATAGTATTGAAGAAGATTGAAGATTGATAGTAATCAATCGTTCCGTTAGAAGATCAATGAATTCATCCATCGGGAGGGTCTGTGTCTGCAAGGTACACCTGTCAGTACTTTGCCACACGCGAAATTCCACCATTTCCACGAGAGAATCAGAGAGAAGTTTCTTCAGTTCACATGATAATGATTTCACTCCAGGACAATCGTTACATTTATCCAGATGACAGGCCAGGGTTGGATTTGTACACATCAATTTTGCTAGACAATCTTTGTAATCTCTGAGTGGACAGGGGGAATCTTGCGTTAGAGTCGCAATATTAATTGCCTCAAGCATCAATTTGCAATTTTCATGATACATACAAACACATACCACGTGAGTGCCATTTGCTCCCGCCACTACACATTGTTTAGGTCTCAGCTCGGCAAACTTACTGAAACCAACCTTAGCATCTTCATTGGCATGTTTGTACTTCCAATGAAGGACTTTTAGATTTTCGAGTATCATTCGCTTTTGTTCTACTTTCTTTTCTCCATTGATCTTGATGGATGGTTTATCTTTCATTCCTGGCATGACACGATTGTGCTCTAGGTAAAAATGGTGTACCTTCTCGACGGTTGTGCTGGGTAGTGAATGACCTGCTTTCGCAATTGGTGAAGCAAACACTCGTTTAATTTTTCTCGATCTTTTCGCTCTTGACGCCATGTATCTGGTAGTTCCAAATTCAGAAGCTATTTTCCGCGCACTCCACGACTGTGGAAGAACCGTCAAGATTTGAAGGTGCTCACGGTAGTTTTTCAGATCTTTGAATTTCTGCTTCAAACCATCNGTTTAATTTTTCTCGATCTTTTCGCTCTTGACGCCATGTATCTGGTAGTTCCAAATTCAGAAGCNTCTTGTGATGAAAGAAATTTCTGATCTGAAAACGATTCTTGTAATGTTGTGCAGCTCCATCGGTGACATAGATAATTTTCTCCACGCTTTCACAGCTGTCTTTCACATGCTGTATTAAAATCTTCTGTATCAAATAAACAGCGGCAGTAACGTGAGTCGTACTGTCCGACAAAACGACTAAACTCCGATGTTGTATTCCATTTTCTTCGCGATAGTAGTAAACAATGGGGTGAACTGTACACTGGCCATTATTGTAGTGGAGGGATTGAGCAGCATCTTGAGCCCCAAAAGCGTAATTTTCCGAAAAATCACAATGCAGTAGTACTTCTCCATTATCCAAATTCTCTTTTCGCTGTTTGACAAGAGCCGATTGTTCTTTAGCGATGAAGTGATGGGGCTTCAATAGTATTGAAGAAGATTGAAGATTGATAGTAATCAATCGTTCCGTTAGAAGATCAATGAATTCATCCATCGGGAGGGTCTGTGTCTGCAAGGTACACCTGTCAGTACTTTGCCACACGCGAAATTCCACCATTTCCACGAGAGAATCAGAGAGAAGTTTCTTCAGTTCACATGATAATGATTTCACTCCAGGACAATCGTTACATTTATCCAGATGACAGGCCAGGGTTGGATTTGTACACATCAATTTTGCTAGACAATCTTTGTAATCTCTGAGTGGACAGGGGGAATCTTGCGTTAGAGTCGCAATATTAATTGCCTCAAGCATCAATTTGCAATTTTCATGATACATACAAACACATACCACGTGAGTGCCATTTGCTCCCGCCACTACACATTGTTTAGGTCTCAGCTCGGCAAACTTACTGAAACCAACCTTAGCATCTTCATTGGCATGTTTGTACTTCCAATGAAGGACTTTTAGATTTTCGAGTATCATTCGCTTTTGTTCTACTTTCTTTTCTCCATTGATCTTGATGGATGGTTTATCTTTCATTCCTGGCATGACACGACTGTGCTCTAGGTAAAAATGGTGTACCTTCTCGACGGTTGTGCTGGGTAGTGAATGACCTGCTTTCGCAATTGGTGAAGCAAACACTCGTTTAATTTTTCTCGATCTTTTCGCTCTTGACGCCATGTATCTGGTAGTTCCAAATTCAGAAGCTATTTTCCGCGCACTCCACGACTGTGGAAGAACCGTCAAGATTTGAAGGTGCTCACGGTAGTTTTTCAGATCTTTGAATTTCTGCTTCAAACCATCCATATTTCTTCTAATTCTATTTCTCTTGCAGATCGATACTGCTCAGATGAAGATGGATCAATGTCACTTTGGTCATCTTCCGAATCATAATCCATGGAAGAACTGTCGAATTCAGCTTCANCACCATTTCCACGAGAGAATCAGAGAGAAGTTTCTTCAGTTCACATGATAATGATTTCACTCCAGGACAATCGTTACATTTATCCAGATGACAGGCCAGGGTTGGATTTGTACACATCAATTTTGCTAGACAATCTTTGTAATCTCTGAGTGGACAGGGGGAATCTTGCGTTAGAGTCGCAATATTAATTGCCTCAAGCATCAATTTGCAATTTTCATGATACATACAAACACATACCACGTGAGTGCCATTTGCTCCCGCCACTACACATTGTTTAGGTCTCAGCTCGGTAAACTTACTGAAACCAACCTTAGCATCTTCATTGGCATGTTTGTACTTCCAATGAAGGACTTTTAGATTTTCGAGTATCATTCGCTTTTGTTCTACTTTCTTTTCTCCATTGATCTTGATGGATGGTTTATCTTTCATTCCTGGCATGACACGATTGTGCTCTAGGTAAAAATGGTGTACCTTCTCGACGGTTGTGCTGGGTAGTGAATGACCTGCTTTCGCAATTGGTGAAGCAAACACTCGTTTAATTTTTCTCGATCTTTTCGCTCTTGACGCCATGTATCTGGTAGTTCCAAATTCAGAAGCTATTTTCCGCGCACTCCACGACTGTGGAAGAACCGTCAAGATTTGAAGGTGCTCACGGTAGTTTTTCAGATCTTTGAATTTCTGCTTCAAACCATCCATATTTCTTCTAATTCTATTTCTCTTGCAGATCGATACTGCTCAGATGAAGATGGATCAATGTCACTTTGGTCATCTTCCGAATCATAATCCATGGAAGAACTGTCGAATTCAGCTTCATTTTCTGGTTCTTCGTCGATTGATATGCCAGAATCATCAAGATGAAAAGATCGACCTGATCTCAGAGAATTGTTCATCACCTCCAGACTTGGGTCACATTTTTCGGCTTGGAGCATTGATATATCGGATCGAGTTTCCAAACGCTGAAGATGTGCATTAAGTTTAACCATGGGGACAGATGGAGGAATGACATAAGTTGGAGCTCTCGTTTGGCATTGGCCACAGATTTTCGAGGACAATGGTAAAAAAGGAAATTTCTCGTGTAGTGTCAAGAAAATCGGACGTAAATTATAACCGAGGTGTCCCTTCTCACCAGGAGCCCGCATTCGATTCGCACATCTATCACTCCGCGGCATTCAATGAAATCCAAAGATATCAATTCCGAGAATAAAGATCATTTCTATGTAATCAACGTGAAAATTCCTTACCTCGTTGCAAGAATAGAATAAGATAGGAGCTCGGTAATCCATCCACACAGAATCGTATGGTGATAAAAAATCAATCGAGAAATTGAGGTTTTTTTCTAGAATTGAAGCCTTGGAACTGACTGATGATGATAAATCAATTAATTGATTCCGTTTGTGTCTTCCTCTCATTTGTTTAATCATAATTTAGCAAACTTCCGATGATGATAATGTTCAATTCAACTATCTACCCTTCCAGTAAAAATTTCGACGAAATTTTTTTTTTCGGCGCCCTCTTTCTCCGTTACATGATGGTGTAGTCTTATGTCATCATATATGAACGAAGAATAATGGTTGATAGACTCATTTCTTTGTAAAAAACCGATGGATCTCCTTTAAAAACGGAAAAACCCAAAAATTTCGAAAAAAACAAATTTTTTCCGGTGCATTGCTTCGCTCTTCCATTATGGCGTATTTTTTTCATATCATATAAGGACATCCTCTATTATAAAAAGAATATTTCGATCGAATATCGAGCGGCCCTAGAGTGAAAAAAAAATGAAAACCCGAAAAATTCTCGAAAAACCGGTCTAGAAGCTTCTTGACGGCTGTGAAGAATTTTTTATCTTGAAGTACGAGAAAAAAAGAAAATTTATGCCACTCATGCCTGAAACCGGCTGGATTACACACTCGACGCTTCGCGTCTCGTGTCTAATTCAGCCGGTTTCAGGCTTCGTGACATAAAATTTTGTTCAGTACTTGTTGGGAAATTTCGTCCTTAACGTGTGTGGTTACATCACTCGCCTTCGGCTCATGCTGTAAACTCCACACACGTTAAAGACGAAATTGCCCAACACGTGCTGAAATATACTATTTCTCTATTTATTTATCATAATCGGATGCTCCATTCAGAAGTAATGATTTTTTGAAAAGTTCAAGTTTCATAATGATTATCTCAGAAACAAAAAGTGGCAGGGCAATGAAATTTTGCATGATCACTGCCTATATGTAGTAGTTCAAAATGCACCTGCGCAATGATTTTTCTCAGCCAAAAAAAAATTTGGTGTGGCTGAGTTGACATGGAATGTCCCCTATGTTTCGACGATGTTGAGGATTGCACAACACATTGTACATGTCTGTCACCTTCTTCAGCCAAAGTTCTGCCTGAATGCATTTCAAACTGAAATCCGCTTTGATCAGAATTATATATATTTGATAAACCGTACATTGCAATCCGTTGTTTCTCATCCTGAACAAAGTGTTCCGAGTTTTCCTCTAGAACTTGACGGTCTTCGATTGCTTTCGATGTAACAAATTTATTGATTTTCCTCGAGACAATACGATGTGCTTTTTTAAATGCTCGTATCCACTTGTCGGATGCTTTAAAGCAAAAATCCTCACTACTTGTTTCTTATTGGGCATGTAATACCCATCGTCGTAGGTCACAATCGTGTACGATCATTCCAGCGTTGACAGCAGATTTGAAATTTTGTAATGTGTATTTACAAATCCGATCAAGTTTATCTTTATAGACTCCCCCGTTATTAATGTTATGTGCCCCACGTCTCAACTGCCGTATTGAAGTTATTATCGAAATTTCTGCTTGACAGATTCTAAGCTTAAATTTTTTTTCTTCTTACCCCTCCGCCAATATGCAACAGCTCTAGATTCGTAATCGTAAGACAAATTCTCCTCATTTTTAGTACAGGTATCAGGATCTATCGGCGGTTCATGAAGGTTATCTGCGTATTCTTAGTCTTCGATTATCTCCATGTCCGAGTCTTTGTAAGGTTCCTCAAAGTTTAATGAATCTTCCACCGTCACTTCGACGCCAGAATAGTCATTCATTGCATGTGATAAAACTTCCTCAATGCTGTTTTTCAATTGGATTTCTTCATTATTTATAGGTGATTCTGGAATATTCATCGCTTGAAATGTTATCAGCAGTAATTGAATAACGTTCATAGGATTGACTCTCATTTCTGCGTGTAATGATTATCTAAATGTTTCTCAAAAATATTTTTCCGTCCTTGTTCTAGCTATATATAAATCTTCACGATATACACGATATACACAATAGTTCGATGATAATCACAACAAAACACTGGCTGGGCACGAGAGTGTTTTCCTTATGCTATCTTTTATTAGACTGACCATACTTTTATCGTCAAGATCTAATAGCAGAGAAAAATACGTCTGGATAGAGCATACGCCCACCGCAGTTTGATCCCGAAAATGAAATGTACAAAAATAACTCTGTTGATTAAGACTAATCCCAAGTCGTAAAACACAAATATTACGGTTATTGGTATTGTTATATATAATTTCATTGTTTATACAATCATATCACATAAACGATTACAGATAAGAAGAAATGCTTCAAACCAAAGACGGCTGACATGCAGTAATACACATATCTGGCCTTGTATCGTTTTTCGCATATTACGATAGAGCAAAAGTCATCAGAGGAAGAGCAAAGCGGACTGCGCCAGCATTTGTGCGAGGTGTCGGCGCACTCCGATGCATTGATCAACAAACTTGAAGATGATAGACAGAAATGAATCAAATTAACAACATTCCTCATCAAATTAGTCATATAATTTTTTCTTTAAATTTTTTCCCCACATCTAGCCGTTAATGAGCCATTAACACTCTTAGGGCTCATGATAGGTAACATTAGTTACAACGTTTTCGTTTATTATAATGTTGCGAGTAAGCGATCGCATATTGATGCGAAAAAGTTGGCATCAATATTGTGGCCCAAAAAGACGGTTATCCTACTTTGCATCAGCGTTCCACATTGCCCCATCCCCCCCATTTCACCCTTTTTGAACCCAACCAACACCATTGTTCATTACTTACTTCAAGAATTGTGATCGCCCAAGAAGAAATCCAGTATTCAACTGGTAATGAATTAAGTTAAAATCGAGAGTGGTTTACCCCCTACACGACTTTTTTCGAAAAAAAACGAAAACCCGTATTTTTGACGTTTGCTCGCTCGTTTAATAGCCATTCATACTATTTAAAATACGAGCGTAATTTTTTTTTCAAACAAATTTTTTTTGGATTTGAAACCCTATCATTTTTTTTGGAATTGACCCTATTCATTTTTCTTAAAGATTATCATATATTCAGTATCGTTGTAAAATTTTGAATGTCAATATATGAAACAGTCAAATGGTCCTGAAAACCTGTCAACTTCGGAGGTTGGTTTCACCCCCTAAAAATCTTTATCCGCAGAAAAAAAATACGTGTACCTTAGATTTTGATGGGGAATAACATATTTCAAGCTCATCGAAATCGGTGAAGGACACTCGGAATGATTTCTTTGTGAGATAGCTTTTATGATGAATTTCCGCCCAATCTAAATACTTTTCAGTATTTTCTCTGCCTTTCCACTGTTCACAAGCTTTGCAATAGCTAGACTTCATTATCAAATCGCTCACTTTATTACTGTAGTCCCCAATAAAATATGGTTACCCCTATGAGAGATGAAACTTCTGGGATCTTCCACGATCCATCACCAGACACAGTAAATTTCGAATTTTTATTTCCAGCCGCTATATTTATTTCATTCCCTTCTTTGGCTGTCTTTTTCAAAACACGATCGCATACGAGTTTAGAGGTGGATTCGATTTTGGCGACTATGTTGTAGTAAGTGCTTTTACAAAATCCAAGGTAAAGACCCATGAAACCACAGAACTGGTTCACTTTTTCTAAACCTAATTCCATGAGACGAATGAGGAGAATAATCTTCATAAATCAAATTCAAATTTCACCGGTTTTTCGTTGCAAGGGTTAACTTGCCAACGCGGCCATCACCCGAGGGCCTTCAGCCAGGGAATGTTGAATGTGGAGTGGGTTTTTCAGTTGAAAATTCCGTGGAATATTCGGTTCGAAAATTGTGTTGAATTTTCAGTTGAATATTATGTGGAAAATTGTGATTAAAAATTCGTGTGGAATTTTGGCCCGGACGGAGCTCGAACCTGGGAGCTTGAGGTTGTGAATCTCATGCTGCTACCAAGTGCGCCACACAGTCCGGTTAATCTTCACATTTATTTCAAATTGTTCTTTCAAGATTGGACCTGACGCAATGTTTCTTTCATCACATTTACAACCAAGTACTATCTGAAATCCCAGACCTTGTTCATTATCAATTACGAAGTTCATAATATCTCGAGAAGTGCCACAAATTAGCAGTGTATTCAATGTGGTAAATACCGATGCAACATAGAGAATTTTGTAATTATGGATAGGAGCACTTTTTATGGAATCGTAGTGACGATATCTCAATTTCTTAGCTGATGTGCTACTATCTACCAATATATCACTCGTTTCAACATTTTTTGGAGAGTGATATTTCCGTTTCTAGGGTCTACATGCCTGCCAACTACTTGCTCAACTTTCTTTGCGAATACCAGTTTTCATGCTAAAAAGTTGGTTCTAGTCTCTACTGAGATTCAACCATGACTCACGGTCAAGGAATTTAGTCATTGAAATTTTCGAGAATTTTCACCTCTAAGTGCATTTTATTGGGGAGTACACTTCCTTTTATAAAACTAATGAGGGTCAGGCAATCAGAATTCAACCGTTACTCCGATATGATAGATGATCGGACATTCTGCCAGTAAAATCTATTTCAATAACACCTATCATATCCAATGCGTTAAAAAGTGAAATTTTGTGCATGAAGCCATCGAGGAAATGAAAGTGATTAGAGATTGAGGAAATGACGGTGTAATTCGGTAGGTAGATGACATTGGCCTAATAGTCTAGAGAATCTGCAACTTTAGGTACGTTGGCTGGTCTTAGACTCACGCAGCAAGAGCTGAAACGACCCAACGGCGGTTCTATTCATTGTGTTCAAATGCTCATGAATAGAAAAACCTCTATGGTTGGAGTCGAGACTTTCGAAACTTTCAGCTGAAGAATTTAAAGTTTCACATTGAGACTTATGAAAATACTTTTTCCAAGACCTTCGAAATTTTGAAATGAGGAATCATTTTTTTCGATGCACAGGTCTCCTGATGTAACTCCAATGGAATATTTCCTTTGGGATAACATGAAGGAAAAGAATTATGCTGTGGAGCTCCACAATTCTGAGGTTCCGGTTGCCAGAATTCATGGTTCTATCGCCACCATCAGAGAAAGGCAGTTATATCCTATACAGTTCAGGAAAATTTACTACGATGACCTCATCTCTGCTTGGATGCAGGAGGAGGCCCTTTCCAAAGTCTCCTGTAAACATTTCAAAAGGAATCGATCTTTCGTTATGGCCGGGAATACAAAAGATCATTCTTTATTGAATTACAGTAACATGAACGTACTCCAGTTAAGTTGTTGGGTGCAGTGGAAAAAGAAAATTTACGCAAAAATCTACTAAATTATATCAAATATTATGTTGAGGATAATACCCGCGTTACTGTCGTGACCTATTGTACCGACGGGTCAGGTGGTCAAGCTTGGTCCATTGTTTTTATTTGACACCTGTGTCGCCTTGGTGTCTTTTTTGACTCTCGTCCCGCGCGATTGTTAACTGTCTAATGTGTATCCGATTTAATCCATTTTTATTAAACACACCTCACTTTAATTCAACTGAACCACGGAATTTGTTATTTATTGCCACCCTCCAACAGGTTATGGGTCTATTTACGACTTCAGAGTTGTTTTTAATGTAGACGTGGATTGTTAAAGGTTTGAAGGTTAAGCCTACGAGTTTTGTACATTATCGATAGTGTGGTGTTAAAAGGCATTATCATGGCTCAGGCGTCGTTCAAGATCGAGCCGTTAACCAGGAAACATTATGAGACCTGGTCAATGTTGGTTGAGGCTGTGATGAGACAGGCGCGAACCTGGGGACATGTACAGGGTACGGTTTCAATGCCGTCGGATGCGAGAGAATTGGCGGCGTGAGAGAAAAAAGAGAGTGATGCTTGGTCTCAGCTCGTTGTGGCAATTGGTTCAGAAGAGTTGCCTGTTGTTTCGGGCATTGAGATAGCAAAGGAAATGTGGGTAAAACTGAAACATGAGTTTGCACCATCAGGGCCAGTTAAGAAGGCTAGCTTGTGGAAGCGTTTGGTAGCTAACCGTTTAACTGATGGAGATGATGTAGAAGCTAATTTAAAAGGGTTTTTCGAGGTATTGAATAAGCTGCAATCCATGGGAATTGACGTCCAGCCGGATTTAGCCACTGTCATGTTGTTGTTGAGCCTGCCACCGTATTTTGACAATTTTCGCTGTGTAATTAAGTCTCGAGATGCACTTCCTGATCCAGAGGTTTTGAGAATTAAGATCTTGGAGGAGGAAGAGGTGCGCGGAAGCGGGGAAAAAGAACGTGAATCTGCGAAGGTGATGTTGGCGTTTCATAAGCGAAAAGGGTTCAGAGCTGGTGAGAGGAAGAATGGCGGTGGTTCGTTTAGCAGCAGTGAGTCGAATGAAAGGAAACCATTCATGTATAAGTGTTTCAGATGTGACAAAGAAGGACACAAAACTAGAGCGTGCCCGAGTAGACGGTATGGGTCTGATGGCATGAGAAGAGGTTCGACTGCTACGGTGGTAGAGGATGGTACGTTTGAGGCGTTTCATGTACCTGAAGAGACGGTTGACATGGCGTTACGGGTGATGCAGGGTGCAG